CCACTGCTTTTTTCCAAGCTCCCACCCAACAGAGGATTCAGTAGGCTGAGCACGAGACACACATGCTTAAACAGACAAACAAACCCAAACGTGTGCAAGCGTTCACTTAATTATATTCATAGAAGCATGCACATGTGCAGATTTATAGAAATTAAAAAAACAAAGGAAATAAAAAGGAAGTTCTGGAGCAATTTTGGGATCTTTTATTCAGGTGTTTTTGTGTTTGGATTTACCTCAACATAACATCCCCAAAGTACAACACTCTGCTCTGTCTTGATTTGAAATATAAGCAGAGAGGAGATGCATTTACACAGAGAAGAAAGGATTACTGAAGTGTATCTCGGGAAAGTGTGAATGGAAAAGTATGTGTGAAAATATGGTATCTGTGCTATTTTTGATCAAAGTTGCACTGGCAAACTTCAAAGTGCTTCAAACAGGGATCATAAAAGGAGAGCATAAATCCTAAAGGCCAGTAATAAGTATGGACATTCAATTGATGGTTCACAGACTATATTAGGTCCTGCAGGGAAAATGTTCAACTCGAGTGAAATACTAGTTTTAAAAAATACATCTGTCTGTGTATGTTTAGCGAGTTGTCAATGTGACTGTGATTGAATTGGGCTCCCGCTTCTCCCTGATACCAGCTAAGTGAAAAAAGAAAAGTGAAAAAACAATAGTGACAAGGCAAGTTCACAAGCTTTTGGCTTGTCCTTAGTTACCCTGATTCATGGGAAGCAAATCAAACGCACCATTGTTCAGGAGCCATTTAGCCTCGACAAAATTAATCAAACGGGGACAATACAATTTTCCAACAAGGCAGGCATTTTAAAATTACAGAGAGGAAGGGTAGAAAATTACAGTTGTTTTGATTAGGGACCCAGCAGTGGAGTTGTGGTTATCTGCCACCTTTCGGCTTTTTCATTTAATGTGAATATTAAGGTTGCACACTAAAACTGGGGACTATACATATGCGCACATTAAGTCTTAATAGCTGTCACTAAGAAAGGTACTGCTAACATGCACTTTCTTAAATGATAACAGCAAAATACAAGCTGGGTATTTGTTTTTTGCTTCTTTTTTAGGTAGCAGCAAATGAGGAAAGTGGCAATAAAATGTGCTTATTTGCACAAACAGATATCCATAAACATTCGGGCATACAGTTTATACAGTTTAGACCAAAGCTGATGATTCTTACACTCTATCCTCCTCTGATTTGCTCCCTGATGTTGTAATCCTGCTTTGAAGATTTCTTCTTCTTCTTCTAACAGTGTCTTTACAAGAAAACTCCCTCTGGCCACAGCAGATGTCTCCTAATCAGGTCAAGGGGCACATTGACTTGTGCTGATGTGTAAATACATGGTACAGTACATACGTATGTTATGCAGTTGCATGGACAATACAAAACTTGACCTAGCTGCTTCCTGAAGCATGGCCACCAGAGGTGCAGGTCAGCTGTAGTCCAGAAGTGGATTTATTACTGGTAAGGGTAAAAGGTGGTCATTTCATTTAATGGGTGAGTTCTGCAAAATGGTTGTTTGCTTACAATCATCATTAATGAAAAAAATATCCCCATAAATGCCAATGAATGTTGGATATTTGTCAAAGTAGCTTTAATTTCTACAATACAGTGTAAACCGTGGTAAAGAATATTGATATCCAATAGAGATTTTAAAAGATTTGTTTCTTATGAACTTTGTGTTCAAGGGAAAAGAAGAAAAAAAAGAGCAGAATTTATGTTTAGAGAAATTCCCTTTAGTTTAATGGAATGGAATCACATAAATATCTCTTTACAAAGATGCTATCAATCTCTGTGCTGTCCTGCAACTGCTGAAATCCGCTATAGTGTGTGTGTCGTGTGTTTGTGTGTGCGTGTAGGTGCGTAGGCGTGTGTGTGTATTTATGCCCAAATGTAATATATGTAAGTAGGCTCCAAAGAGATACTGATGGAGCTCTCCATGGTGCTGAAATCTTCCAAGGTTTTTTTTAACCTGAGTACTACTGTTTGTGTGTTACTGTGCATATGTGTGTGTGTGTGTGTGTGTGTGTGTGTGTGTGTGTGTGTGTGTGTGTGTGCACTGAAAGCATGATCTCTAAGCTTCAATGAGCTCTCCATGGTGCTGAAATTGCAACAAACGTGGCATACTCTGCATTACTTTCCATCATTTAACTTTCATTATGTCACTTTTTAAGCTTCCCTTTCACTGTTTATTTTGAGTAACAAGGTCACCGTTAGCCAGTATAAACCAGCAGGATAACAAGAGTAGTCATTCAATATCACAGTTAGGCCAGTGTTTCAGTGGGCTTCACAGGACAACAACAATAATGTTCTCCAGCTCAAGTTCTCTAAGACAACAAGGACAATGGAATTTTAATCCAATAATAACAGTATAACAGGCACAACACTAAACTAGGAAATGTAATATAAGAAGTCCAATACATCAATACATCATCATTAAAAAGTTTCCCATATTAATTAATGTATCATAATGAAAGCATTTGTAGCATTGTACTATAGGCCTACTAGACCACATCCAGCATCTAGCTGTGGGTTTACTTTACCACAGTGCAGAAGTACATGCTTGAATCACCTGCCAACCATCCCCATTGTGCAGCACAGAGAAACATTTATAGTCCTGACAATGTGATTATTCTGTCTCTGCCAAGAATGTTGCACAATAGGCTGCTGTAGTCTATGAAAAATTTAACTCTCTAGTGATGCTGTTATTCTGAGGGGCTGTCTTGCCAAACTGGCTGAAGTATGAAGATGTGAGGTTGTTTCGTTTTTGAGTGATGTTTACATACCATCCTGGACATTTGGAATGGAGAGGAGACCCACGTCTGAGCATTATCGGTAGTCTGCCTTCTATTAGAATTGTCAACCTTATCCTTTTTCCAATTAGTCATGGGAAATGATCAATTGTAAAGAGAGATTCCTATCAGTTAGTAAGTGAATTAAAGGTGGTGAGTGGAGAATTTTTTCATCAATAAATGTAGCGACAGAATTAGTTGCAATGGCATGTTCTAATGCTAATAAATGAGCATGATTATCACCGTCGCAGACAGTCTCCCTTTTGATCTGCTTTGTGCTTTCATTTTGTCCAATTTGGGAAGCCACAAATTTGATTTTCAGAAGAATCCTCTCAGGCGAATAACAAAATGTTCATAGAAAGTCGCTTACAAGAAATGTAGAGCAGAGGGAAAATTATCTTTGGCAGATCTTTTGACAATGGTTCATCTGGGAAAAACCCTACTTTCCTTTTAATAAACTTGGGCTGAGTAAAGACACCAAAACTCATGCATTCTGCCCTGACATCCCAGATATGTAATATCTTGGCCATTTAAAAGTGTTACTATGAACCAGACACACACAATTAAAATATTGCTGCAGCTAAGTAGTATTTCAAAACATGAAATAGTTATAAAAAGTCCAGAGATTCCAGCTAGTGTCTATTTACATATAAATACATTCAGAGACAAGGGAAATCTAAAAATTTCTGTCACATAAAGTGTAGGAATAAAGAGAAGTTTGCCTCACTTTTAAGGCTAATTTATGGACTTGGAGTACCTGCGGGTTTCATAGTTAATGTACAGGCTCTGACATGCTGTAATCTGGCAGACACAGTCCCACGATAGCCTCTTTTTTTCTTGGTCTACCGCTGTGTTCACTGAGCCTAGTGGTGAGCAATTTTCAAATCTGGGTTGTGAAAGTAATACTGCCTTCAGAGATATGGACTTCATTTTCACTCATTGTTCAACTGTCTTACTCTGGGTTTTGCTGCAAATGTAGAAGCAATGTATACAAAAGTTCTGATCCTCTGTGGTGTAGATAGAGATTAGTCTTAAGTCTCAAATACAGAGTACAGCAATCAAAGACTAAAAGTAATTCAATAACTTTAATTGTGCCCGCAAATGAATGGCTAGTTGTGGAACTGTAAGAAGAGTGAAAACTGGATGATGGATGAACATATGGGTGGTTGGTAATCTGTCTACACTAGAAGAGCTGCGCCACTACAGCTCCTCCTCCACCTCCAAGCCTTCAAAAGAAGCACTTGAGCTGACTAATGTCCCACCGTTTTTACTCATCCATATGCAAATGTATGCAGCAAGATGCTCCAAAACCTAATCACATCATCTACTATATAGGAGAAGCCTGTGATGTAAAATTTGATACCAAGGCCATGGAAACATGAAGGTCTGGTAACTGCATGTTTGTACGAATGTTTTGTTAGCTGCATCCATGTTTGCAGGATTGGTACTGAAAGACAAATCTTTCCCCCAATTTAGAAAAGTTCTGGCAGAGAACCAGAAGAGCTAACAAGGACATCTGTGAGCAATGTAAAAAAACAACACAAAGAAACACCACACATTAATTATTAGCACTGAAATGTGTGGTGATTTATTTTTAGTCACAACTATTTTAAGATATATTAGTTGGGTGCAAATTTACTTAAAACATTTTAAATAACTGCTTAAGTTTGGTATTTCATTGCACTTACAGCAGCATCCCTATAAACTGAGATATACTGCAGGATAAAACAGTGAAGTCAGAAGCCAGCTTATTGTGGACTGATGCCAAACAAGCGGGAAAACCATGGCCCGTGTTTAGAATAAGCGGTATCGTCCTTTAAAGACTATGCGAATTTCAATCATTTCTGTGCATATGCACTTGCTGTATTTGGAAACTGCGCGTGCTGACGTCACTACGGTCGATGGTAGTCGGGGTAGGCAGAGCGGGAGGGAGGAAGTTGTGAACGCGCCTGACGGATCCCCGGCGGAGGGCAGCGAGGGCGCGCATCTCTGTCCTCCGCTTGTGAAGCGACTGCAGGGGAGCCAGATGCCCGACTGTGAGCCGCTGCCTGTGGATACCTCTCCCAAATGCCAGAGCAGGCAGGAGCCACAGACATATTTCACCCTCTGACAGGGAAGAGGAGAGAACAGGGGCAGTAAACAGAGTAAGAATTGTTTTTTAATATATTTTTCTTCTCCCCCCACCCCCGCCCCCGGTCCCCCCGGCCCCCCCCTACTTCTCCGCCTCGCTCTCTCTGTTTCAATCTCTGCTTCAAATGAAGAGCTTCCTTGGACTTGGAGTACCGGGTATCAGTAGAAAAAAAGCCCGTTATCCCACTCTGCCCCTGCTGCTGCTGCGGCGCTGCTGCCTGTGAGCGCGTCCTCTCATTGCATTGGAATATACAGCGTGCCTATATGCGCAAAACCATGGAGATTATATGACGTGGATTTATTTTTGGTACAAAACTGGACATCTACAAAAGCGACGTTCCTTCTTCTTTTCATTTCCCCCCCTCCCACCCCTCACCCCCCAATGCCTTTTTGTTTTTGCGTTCTTCTATTCTGTTCTTTCGTTTGACCCATGGCTACTTTATGATTTCATGTCCTTAGCGATCCCTCCTTATTTTTATTTATTTATTTTTTACACTTATTATTTTTTGGTCCGTTTCGGAGGCGCAGAAGTGGAATGCCTCGCAGAGAACATTTGTGGGAAGAAGATTCCGCCGCGGCGAGGGTGAATGAATGATAGTCTCCCTCTCCATCTGAGACGTGCCATGGATGGGAAACTTAATTTGTATCCACGGAACCGATCGGGGAATAGCCGACGCATCAAATAACTACTGCTGACAGCGATCAGGTAATGTGTCTCTTTATCTATTAAACTCAGCCTCTCTGTAAAGAACCGTTGGACTGTTTCTTTGCGCCATGTATCCACGATTGCTTTTGCAGTCTGTCGGCTTATTTATTTATTTTATTCTTGACATCCTTGTGCAAAGATCACAGTGTGTAAGTGTAGTCCAGTGTTAATGACGCATAGAGTCTCAGATTGATAGGGAGACTGGATCCTCATCTTCCCCAGTTTCACAAGACTGAAGTATATCGGCGGTTATCCGCGGGGATGTGTGATCTGTGAACCTGAACGGAAGTACCGGTCACAGAAAAATCCCCAAATACATCCGAGCAGTTGAATTACAGCCCATTAGTTGAGCACAGGTGGACAGCAGCAGTCCCCTGAATGCTGAATTTCTCAGAGGGAGACACAGAGAGCTATATGATCGCCTGGCAGACCTGTAACTTTGCGCAGTGGCCAAAAGAAACACACACACACACACACACACACACACACACACACACACACACACACCCACACCCACACACACACAGCACATTGTGCGCGCATAGCAGACACTAGACACTTTTATTTCCACCTTCCTCCTATGGGGGTTTTCCACGATGCCATTTTGAGTTTAGAATAACATTAATAAATCAGAGCTCCTCCATCCGCAAGAAGCTTTTTCTTTCCGTAATGGCTGGAAAAGATTCTGGGCAGGAGGTTGTCTCCTCCGTGGCCTGGTTCACGTATAGCATTAGGTTAGAGGGCTGATGCCGATGTCCCCCCCCCCACAACCACCACCACCCCCCAGTGCGCACCGTGCGCCTGGGTGAGTAGGTGCCTTCTCTCGTTGAATGCTAAAGAGCCAGGATGTACCAAAGACGCCAGTGAGGGTGCACTGGGGGGCTGAGGGGGAGCTGCTTGACTTACATCCGTACTGGCATCTCACCACGCAACAGAAAGCCCTTTGAAAGCTACCTGATCACGCACTGAGGTCCGATTTATCTGTGGGCGCCTCTGACTATGGCTTGCGTCTGCCGCAGTGCCGCTTCTTGTTACCATTCCTCCTCCCAGTTCATTCAGTGTGATTTTCAGTAAAGTGATAAGTATGCGGGTTTTTTTTTGCGAGTCCGAGAGTACGGTACTGGCCTTGTACCCCCCTTGTAGCGAGCAGGTGGCTCCGGTGACGCTGAACGAGAATGACAACCGGGACGCGACAACGGGAGTGCAAAGGAGCCTCCGAGCATCATCTCCGTCTCCCTCTCTCTTTTCTGCCCATCTGTTGAGCATGCACTGTGTGTGCGCTCTCTCCGCACGCACCTCAAAACAAACTCCCACCGCTACTATCAGACCCTCTTAAATAATGTAATGTAACACACATGGCAGCAGCGACCTCGATTATTTTATATCCCAAGTAGCCATCTGTGGCATGTTGAACAATTCCCCGCAATATTCCACTCAATCCAACCCTGAGTGGAGCCGAACTCTGCTACAAGCAGCAGCCTGTGGGTGAACTGGTGTAGGCTATTTAACAGGGACACTGATTCATGAGTAGTGACTGTCTCTTTGGTACTTGGCACCATTTAGGATGTGGATTAACAAGTCAGACTCAGCCTGTAGTATTTCTCACATTCTAAAAAAGGAATTCCAGCAACCATGTGATGGATTTTTATGAAACTAAATCTTAAGCAAACTATAAAGTCGGACCACAGAACAATATTAAAGGTCTATGACGCTGATGTCGCTCTGTCCTCTCTATACTCGTATCCCTGCCTCCATCCTGAATGTGAGCAGTGAATAACCATAACGTCGCCTCTTCTTTTTTTAAACGCAGTGAATAACCTCGTTTGTTTTATTTCTCCGAGCTGCTGTCGGAACTAATGGAGCCGGCGGGGCCGTGTCCCCTTTTAGCAGAGATGAGCAAACCCACGGACGATGGCAGATGAGCTGGATGTGAGAGAAGGCTCCTTTTTTTAACCCGGGCTGGGTGGAGGACAAAGAGTGGTCAGGGGCATTAGTTCAGTGAAGCTGTGTCTCAGTCCCTAATAACAGCATCATTTGCGAACAAAACTTCCGAGCCTGCGTATGGTAGAGGATCTGTATGTTCTCTCTGTGAGCACGAAGCAGTGACTAATGAGCCTCGAGAACACTGGTTCGCAATGCTGCACTGGTAAGATTTTCTTTAATATGGCTTCCAGATAAAGTTCTGCGGATTTTAGCTCTCTTTAGCTCCCTCTTAAACTTGGTTAATTTACAGTGAGTGCCACAACTTGCCACCCAGTAATTAACCATGGAAATCATACTTGTGTAAACCTCCATGGAGTGTTGGATGCATATTTCTAATATTTGTGTTCCTGTAGTAGAGTGTAATTTAGTTTAAAACCATTTGTCCTGCTTCATTTTATTCAAGAAAGTGCACCCAACCCATTTCATCCAGTATGTTTGATATCTTGCAAATTTGGCCAAATTTCAAGAATTTAGTTTATTAATAATAATAAAAAAGCTAACCGACCACACATACAAAAGCACTGAACTGAGACTGACTGTGGTGGAAGGAGCTTGGCGTTGGTGCTTCCAGGACCCAGCGACCAAAATCTGGAACCACAAAGTCTACTGTAGTCAGTTAGGTAGAACAGCCCTAAATTCAGCACCTTGGACAGCGCTCATAGCCAATCGCAACATGTTTTTACAGAAACAATATCTGTGTTACTCTGGATTATGCATTTTAACAGATTAATTGGAGGTTGTTTTCTTTTGGTTTTTTCTTATTTTGTAAAAGCATTCATTTAACATTCATCAGCTTACACAGTTTCAGTACCATTGCTCGTAGACTCACACAGCACTCTGCTCAAAACAAATTTACAGCCTAGTTCTTCCAGAGATTTCCTCACACAACATTAGCTTTAATTATTAACAGTTGAACATAGGAAGCTTTCACTTTAAGGGGAAAAAAGACAAGAAAAATCAATACAGAGCAAGCTGTTAGATGTGATAAAAAATAATATAAATCACATTACAATTGGAAGGTATTTCTTAAAAATATATAATACGCTACTCTTATTGAAAACTGCTGATGCATCCTGTAAAGCGGACTACTTTTCTAGAAAAAGCTGTTTCTGTTACAGTCTTTAATGGAATCTTTCAGTAGTGGGAGCACTCTGTTCTACTCTACTGTACAATTAATAGGATGAAAGCCTCAGAGACAGACAACTCAAATAAAACCAAAACTATATGGCCAGATATAGGGGTAAGAGAAAAAATGTGTTTTTCTTTACTTTGCATGAACCAGTCTTTCAACAATTGTGACAAAAGAGAAAAGACTAGAGTATAAACTAAACTTTAAAGAATATACTAGCAAAGACTCCAAGGTAATATGATTCCCACCATGTAACCCTCAAATATTGACATCTAATGTACTTGATATAGTGTTTGATAATTCATTTGGTAAACAATTTTAACTTAAGTTAGCTTGTTCAGTAGGCAGTTCAGTTTTATGGTTATGAGTATGTACAGTGATAGCATGTACAAGGAACATACTGCATTTGTTTCCATGATGGTAGTTTGCACATCTCTTAATATTCAGCTGGCATCCTTTGGTTTGTATTTTCTTTTGTTTTGGGTTTCGATTCGTTCCAGAAGCTCTGTGTTTGCGTGTCACTCATCAGTCTCGCCGAGGCCAGTGTCAACAGTCATCTCCAGAGATCTCTCTAGCTCCTTACGGGGGGAGCTCCTTGTGGTTCCAGGATGGATTTTTACTTGTTTTCATTCTCATTTTTGGCCAGGATCCAAAATGAGATCAGGTGCCTTATTCACAGTCAGTTGCCTGGTTATTGTGGCATTACCACAGAATGAAATATTAGCAAGACGGAGAAGCCTCATATGTTGCCTAATTCTACAGTACAGGAGCTCAGTGTAGCAAGGTGTTACGTTTTAGGTGAATATAATGTTTTGTTTGTTCAGGCTTAAGTGCTTATAATTCTTGGGTCCCGTGAGGGGAGAAGTGGGATATCTGAGAAGGTAGGAACTGTTGCAAGATTTGATATGTGGTTGTAACTGGCTGTAAAACTTCTAGCTTGAAATGTAATATAAACATACGATAAAAACTTTTTATAATTGTGGCGATCATTAGTTTTACATTCTTGAATACTGTGAGTGTGAAGGATGTCTCGAAGCCTTGTGGAAAACATGAAAAAAAACACACATTTGTTGGAGAATTAAGTTATGAAATTGGGGCAATTTTGACCGAAGCGCAGCAGGAAGGTTAAACGGGACAGAGAAATGAGACTGTGTGTAATGACTGCGCCATCAGTGAATGATCATCTGAGCAGCTGCTGGAAATGCAACACAAATGACAGTGTGACACGTATCAGCTGAAGATGTATGAAAACCAACCAGCTCTGTGGCAGTTTTATAAGGCCTGTAAATGTGATACTAATAACATCTTCAATATCCGCCCACATGTCATGCACTAATGCTGGCAATGCTAAATCTTTCTCCCTCTCTCTCTCTGTCTCTCTCTCTCTCTCTCCCTCTCTCTCTCTCACACACACAAAACTCATACTGTACACACAAACCTCTCTCACCTATCTCTCGCTATTTCCCGTCTGACTTTCACTCAAGCAACTCTGATGGGCAAATGTGCGAGCATACATTAACACACACAGCGGGAGAGACAAAATACAGTATGCAAAGTGATAGCGGCAAATCAAGCAGTGTGTGTTTGTGTTTGTGTGTCCACATGCATGCTGTTTAAATAGTGCATATGGAGTAGGGGCCAGGCAACAGCTTGGGCTTTCCTGGATCACTGCGCCCTGGCTGGGCCATTGTTCCTCTGACACCCCCCTTTACACACACACACAAACACACACTTCCTCCTCTCCGCTGGCCGTTCCCTAACAAGCTTCCTGCTCTCCTCTCCTCCTCCGAGCTCGTCCAAGCTCTTTTCTTTTGCCATTCATCCATTCATAAAATAGTATCCTTATGACCTCTGTGATTTAATGCTTGTTGTATTATTTTAAGTTGAG